TATTTCAAGAATTTTTTTTCTTGGGAGAATAACAAGAAAATTTTCTTAATAAGAAAATTCATTTTAAGAAAAATTTCTTGTTTTGAGAAATTATTTTCTTAAAATAAGAAATTATTTTCTTATTTTAAGAAAATTTTCTTGTTTCAAGAAAACTTGTTTCTTGGGAGAATAACAAGAAAATTTTCTTATTAAGAAAAAAAATTTCTTGATTTGAGAAAATATTTTCTTAAAATGAGAAAATATTTTCTCAATTTAAGAATTTCTCTCAAGAAAATTTTCTTAATAAGAAAAATTTTCCTAAGAAAATTTTCTTATTAAGAAAATTTTCTTGTTATTCTCCCAAGAAAATATTTTCTTATTTCAAGAAAATTTTCTTAAAACAAGTTTTTTTTTTCTTAAAATAAGAAAATGATTTTTTGCTGTGTACTTGTTTATGCACTCTTGGATTTGCAGCTTTTCTACGTTTTGATGAGTTGAGTAACATAGTACCATTACATCTGACTATCACATCTGGTTATTTGAAAATATTTATTCCTCGCGCTAAAAATTATGTTTACAGAGAAGGAAACTTCGTGTACGTAAGTCGTCTCAAAGATAAATACTGCCCTGTAGCGATTTTGGAACGATACATGATGAATGGGGGTATGGATTTTAGCAGTAATCTTCCATTATTTAGAGTGCTACGGTTTTATAAATCTTCTAACACTTATAAACTATGTCGAAATAAGTTGTCATATTCTAGATGCCGAGAGATATTCAAGGATTGTATTAAAGATCTTGGACATGACAGCAGTCGATTTGGACTACACAGTTTACGTTCAGGTGGAGCGACGGCAGCAGTTAGACATAATAGAAATTTGTCAGAAAGGTCACTCAAAATTCATGGTTGATGGAGAACGAGTAATGCGAAAGATATGTATATTTTGGACGATGTAGCAGAACGCTTAAAAATATCGAATAATTTAGGATTGTAGTAAATACCAAAGTGTGTAATATATTCGTATGAGGAAAAAGAAAATAAATAAGAAAACAGTGTGGATTGCATCAGCAACCAACCATATATTGTTGTACAGTTTGTTTTCATGAATATAAGCATGGAGATTGAAAATAATTTACGTTCGGTTGAACGTAGTGAATTAGAACGTAAGCTATTTTACAATTAACCAAATATTCACCGAAGGCGAGGTGATTACAAGCCTATATTCACTGAGCTGCGAAGTGAATATAGTCTTGTGATCACCAAGCGTGGGGTAACTAATTGTTTTAGAAAAAATTCAGTATTGAAACATAATAATATATACAAACGTTCATAAATAAGATTTACTTCACCTTTAATTTCTTCAATTCTTTCTTCCATGATTTGTTTGCAAACTGTGGATTTTCGACAGCCATTTTGTTTTGAAAGCAATAGTTTACTGCTCAGAGCAGTCTGAGCAGCAATCGGAATGCTTGAAAGCCATTTTTCAATACTGAATTTATACTAATAACATTTAGCATTTCCCAATCAAGCAGGGTACTGATTCAAATTGATATTACAAAGCATCCATGTATTGTTGGGAAGGATGATCACAGATCATTTACATTGCTGTCTTTTCAAACATACTGTACCATAGAGGTAAAATGCTTTGCAGTCTCAATTGCACCCAGGATCCTTTAATCAATCTCAATCATAGATATCTTATATACACTAGATAGCGCATCTCTTTTAGTAAAATTGAAGCCAAGAATATTCCAGCGGTTACCCAAATTTGAATAGATGGCGGCCATGTTGGTCGTTCCCACTTGCTAATAAACACTTAAAAACAACAATAACTTTCATCATTCGAATAGTTTAAAAATGTTTTTGGAATAAGGTTAAGTTCCCTGTTCAAGAAATAGAAAACATACAAATCTTCTCATTTCATGGGAACGACCTGAGACTGCAATCACAGCTTCAATTTTTGAATTGCAGAATAATTAGATGCACTATCTAGTGTATATAAGATATCTATGATCTCAATACATTACATTGTTAGTAAAATAATCTAATGTATTAGAGGCAAATTCAAGATTCCCTACTATAGGATTCCCTGCTCAATTGGAAAAATTCTGATACCATAGAGACACAAGGTCATATGAATATTATAGGAAGATTTCTTGGCAGGTACAACAGGCTTATATATGGCAGAGAAGGGCTCATGATCTGATGTTTTTTTCTGTATTCAACAAACTAATACATCTAATTAACCAGGGAGAATAGTTTGGGATAATGTGTGGATTCTACAGTAGGTCTCCAAGGTAGTCCCAAACTTGCAAGTAGAAACATGGCTTTAATTAACAGCTTTTGATCCTATATAGACCTTTAACACCCACATTTGAATTTATGGTTTAAAGAACATATGAATGTTCTTTGCTTTATAGAGCAACCAAGTGTCAGAAGAAGTACAGCAACTTAATGAAAAGAAGAAAAGGTGGTATTTCACACCAACAGCCCATACATGTCCAAACACATTGCAATTGCCAACAGAAAGCATGGTTCTTCCTCTTCCCTCTGAAGAAGACCTGTTCCAATTGTATGATATGGCATTCAAGAACACTCACTTTGGTATTAGATAGAGCTGAAAAACAAAGCATTCAATATGTTTTTCAAGTTTAGGAGAAAATACTAATCATCTTTATTAGCAATGATATTGGAGTTATCTCTATTCATAACAAAAACATGTTTCAGTTTTTAAGAAACAGGGGAACAAAGACCAGTACAGTAGTGTTACGGTAGCTTGCATGTGATGGGATAATGATAGTCTTTACGACATGTTGTGTTACTTTTAATTGTTTTTGTTAGAAAGTTCATTTAGTACTGTGATTGTTAATTTTACTGAATGTTCAAATTTCTTCGCTTGAATGTTCCAAAACACAATTTTGAAGTTTTCCTGAACATGTTTAACTTTATCTGGGATAATATGTTAAATCCACACACACACATTCCCCTCGCCCTTTGTCATGCTCAAACTTTAATTTGGTGTAAAGAGGACATATTGTATCAATGCGAGGCTTGATGGTGAAGACAGTGCAAGGGAAAACCCACACTGGTCATACAGTGTTACTGTAGGCAAATTTTCTCCAACTGGAGGCAGGCACACTTTTTATTGGACTTCTAATTAAATATTTCAAGGTCTGTATGTTACCCAGTGCTGGTAATTTTGTATCTAAACTCCGCTGACAAATTAAGCCTGCAGAAGTGGGAGAAAATTTGCTAAAAATGACCATTGGGGGCCAGTGGCATGCTGGGTACTATTTTTCTGGGGTGGCCAGTGGGCTATCAACTATTATGCGCCCCTATATTGTATTGCTTGATAAACGAGTGCCGAAGGCACGAGCCTCGCGCCAAAGGTGTGAGGTTTCTCTAGGTGGGTACGGGGGCATGCCCCCTCGGAAAATTTTTGAATTTAGGGTCTCTGAAATGCCATTTCCTGGACTTTGGGGGGAAGGTTTTTTAGGGGGAAGGAATTTTATATATCACTTTGCAATTGTATAAACACATCTTTTTTTGGCGGAAGTAACCATATTTTTTCAAATGCGTTTTTTCCCACCCACTTTCAAAATTTGGCGCGGTATCGGCGCCCCCGATTCATTTTTTGCGCCCTCCAAGAATTGCCAGCTGGGGGGGCCGTGGCCCCCCGGCCCGGCCCCCCCTGCCAGCACGCCACTGTTGGGGGCACCATTAGGCAGCGTCGCAAATATTTATACATAAAAGTATATGCTATTTACTCAATTTTACACCACCTTCCTTTGTAATACTGTAATTCATGTTATAACCAAATTCTCTTAAGTTTGGTTTCCATTAAATCGCAATAGTCGCGGAACGCAGACATCGCTATCGCAAAAATCAATCTTCGCGCCTTTGTCATATAAGAGTCTTACAGCAGTTATCGGCGTAACTCAAGTTTCCAATAAATCACAGTTTTTGTGATAATTACGATTTAATCAAAAAATTAAATAAATAATAAATAAATTAAATGGAAACCAGGCTTTAGTGAGAAAAGCTCAAAAACAATTATATGTGAGTCCGTATCTTCTCATGTACCAAAATGTTCATTAAGAGTTTGTTAGTTCATCAATCTTTAGTACTACCAGTTCTAAGGCTTCAGTACCCCCATTTCATGAGATTGTTGCAACAGATCGATTGATTCAAGAATAAATTATGTTAGCAAGTTATCATGCGGCAGGTGGACTGCTTCAACAATTACATTGTTGTCACTTCCAACTGAAGATGGTCCATGGGGGTCATGTCCGTACATTTCCAAATCATATGGCTCTTCATCTAGCTCTGCATGCGCCAGTGGATTATCAGGATGAAACATTCCATTTATCCACATTTGGTTTGGGGAACAGTTTCTTTCTGTGCGTATCTTGTGGTGGCTGAATGCTTCTCTAAACTCATCAAGGGCCTTGGTGATCCTGGGAATAAAAATTAAGTGCAGCGTGAAAAGATGAACAGGATTATTTGCATCAAGGATACCAGTAGACTCCATAGCATAGAAGATATAATAGTAAAGATGGCATACACATCGAAAAACATCCCTCCACAGTCGTTCGATGTGCTGGTTGTGTGCCTTCTCCCCTAGCTTGTATCATGGCATCGCATACTAGCACATTTTCAACACTCTTGTCAACCCTGATGCGTGTGAGGGCCATAAGTTCCCATCCATTTTTACGGCATCCAAAAACAGTTCAAGAACAGTTTCTGCAAGATTGTTTGCACTACATCTTAAAAACATTATTCGTCTGGAATAACCATCTATGCAACCGTGAATAACCATCTTCCATCTAATCAAAAAATGATGGCCATCCAGGTGCCATAGGGAATTTGGCCAAGGAACTTGATATTGCCTGCGAGAAATAACAATACCCCAACGTAATGCAGTGTTGGGTGGGTCAACTCTTGCCATACTTTCTCTTATTCTTTTTCTTTGAATTCTTAAGCCAACTGACTTCAGGTAACCTTCGACATAACACTGTCCAGTTGTGCAGCCATGATTTAAAATAAATTCTTTGACTTTTTCATCAAGTTCTTCGTCAGGCAAGTGATGAAATCCAGTCATATTTTATAAGTGTATTCAGATTCATCTTGTCTTGACTCTCGACATCTAACGATCGATTGATCTAATCAAACGAATACTTTGATCAATAACTTCAGCATGGGATTCGGCGACTTCTAGGTCAACATCACTTTGAAAAATAGATTCTACGTTGTCTAAAACGAACTCTAAAAACAATGGCAGGTCATTTTCAACATTAAAGACTTCATCCACCATGTTTGTCAAAACTGGTAAACTGCTCACCCCAGTCTCCCAAGATTGAACGAATTTAGGATTTATTGAATGGATATTGAAATTAAATTGAATGCATGTACAAACATTAAATTGAATATGTTAAAGTTTAAAATTGAATAAATATTTATTAAATTGAATGAATATTTTAATATTAAATTGAATAAATATAAAAAAATATTAAATTGAATGAATATTTTAATATTAAATTGAATGAATATTTTAATATTAAATTGAATGAAAATATGACAATTAAATTGAATGAATATTTTAATATTAAATTGAATGAAAATATGGCAATTAAATTGAATGAATATTTTAATATTGAATTGAATGAAAATATGACAATTAAATTGAATGAATATTGCAATTAAATTGAACAAATATATTACATTGAATATTGCAACAATCGGCGTGCCATACCTGGGCGACATTTTTTGCAAGTGTTTACTGTGATTCAATTTTATACGTTTAATATCATCTATTTAAATATCTTGTAAGATAAACAACAAAATCTAATTTAGTACTATGACATTATCGATTTGTTTTGAGAGAAGTGCAATGAGAAAATGTTATTTGGCAGAACTACAGAGCATTTCTAGCAGTGACATGAACTCAGACGTCTGACCACAGCGGCCCAATCTCGCAAGGGTCACTTAGACTTATAGTATAAATGTATATTATAGTAATGTATATTATAGTAAAAATATGTCATATAAAAATATAAATTTTAAAATGAAATTGACTTGCCCATTTGATAGTGTGTGTTCTCCTTGTATTCCTCCTTTGTTGGACTAATATTTTCCGAGACTTTGTACTCGATGTTACTAGTATACATGAAACATGATCAAGGCCAACGATTCCCGATCGTCGATACGACGGCACGGCACTTCGAATCGAAAATTCTCACACTCAAAATTGCTTTATTCTGCAGAGAAATTCGCCAGCATGCACAACAGATGCCGTTCTTCGAAAATATGTTGATACTTCGGCGAGATGTACAAGTTTTGGACCATATTTTAACAATGGAAATCAAAACCCATTTTATATTGAACTTGCCCAGGCCGAAAATTACTACGGCGAACGTCTGCACAACCAGGCCTCCTTTACCGTTGGATTTACAGGGGGGAAGCAGATGTTTCCGGTAACAGCCAGCCAATCGCAACCATGATAGCTACTGTTTACATTATTTGAAATTTGATATTCAAAATAAAAACTCCTTCGACCGGATACTGTATAAAACTCGAGATATTGTCGAAGAAAAGAAAACTAAACGACGGAGATTGTAGGAATTTAAGGAAGAAGAAAGCTCTTTGTTGGAAAGCATGGTAGAATATGATATTTTAATTTGAAATATGATTGTTAATATATTAGTGGCAACCTCCCCCTGTAAATCCAACGGTAAAGGAGGCCTGGTTGCGCAGACGTTCACCGTAATAATTTTCGGCCTGGGCAAGTTCAATATAAAATGGGTTTTGATTTCCATTGTTAAAATATGGTCCCAAAACTTGTACATCTCGCTGAAGTATCTTCGAAGAACGGCATCTGTTGTGCATGCTGGCGAATTTCTCTGGAGAATAAAGCAATTTGAGTGTGAGAATTTTCGATTCGAACTGCCGTGCCGTCGTATCGACGATCAGGAATCGTTAGCCTTTATCATGTTTCATGTATACTAGTAACATCGAGTACAAAGTCTCGGAAAATATTAGTCCTACAAAGGAGGAATACAAGGAGAACACACACTATCAAATAGGCAAGTCAATTTCATTTTAAAATTTACATTTTATGACATTTTTACTATAATATACATTACTATAATATACATTTATACTATAAGTCTATACTGACCCTTGCGAGATTGGGCCGCTGTGGTCTGACCTCAGCAACATTCAAATGTAAACAAAAGGCCATAAATAATATCAAATTTCAAACACTCTTAATTGTTCAAATCGCGTTTGCAGACGAGTTTTATCACGGTTTTTAGTACTTCAAAATGTCCTTTTTCCACCTATACTAGTCACTGTATGTAATTAGGTCCCACTTTTAAGAAATTCAACGTAGAAAATAGTAGGATTTGAAAGTATTTTGACATGGCGCTCTTTGTTGCTAAATATTGGCACAAATGCTCTGTAATTGAAAACCTAAGTTAGTTTAGATAAAATTACGATAGTTTTCCGCTGCTGGGTGTGAATATCAGAAATTTTGAACAAAAACTTTTGAAATTATGTTTATTTAAATTCAGCCCATTTTTTCGTTTAATTAGCTGGCGAATTTCTCCCGCAACGGTGCGAGACCAAAAAATCGCTAAAACTTTGAAACTAAATATATTTTCAAAATTCCAAACAGCATTTGTTTGTTGTTAAAGTAAATGTAGTTCACGTTAAAATTTTCTAAGAAATTTATTTTTCAAGCCCCAAGTCAGTGGGCGGTTTTTAGAGAAACACGCTCTTAAAGAATCAGTTAGTGCCTACTGCAGAGGTCACAACACCACGACTGTCATGTTGGCAATGCGAGATGACATTTATCGAGCTATGAAAAGAGGTGAAGTTACCATAGCTGTTCTTGCCGACTTCTCCAAAGCATTTGATACTGTTTCATATTCGACCATCTTGAGAAAACGTGACCGGCAAGGATTCTCCAAAGATTACCTCAAGTGGGTTACAAGCTACCTCACTGGATGACACCAGTTTGTACAAATCAATGACGCGGTATCAAGTACTACCGATGTCTGTTTTGGAGTTCCACAAGGTTCCATTCTTGGTCCTGTTCTGTTCAACCTCTATGTGAACGATCTTTCCGACAATCTTGATCCCACGATATCTTCTCACCAGTATGCTGATGACACTTCCCTCTATTTCCATTGCAAGCCAGCTGATATAAACTTGTGTGAAAATAACATTCAGTCTAACCTTGATGATCTCTCAACCTGGTCTACTTCCAACAACCTTGTCCTTAACTCCAAGAAAATGAAAGTCATGCTCTTTTCTACAACTCAGCTCTCTCGTGTTCATCATCTTGAAGAACATTCCATCCATCTTCATGCCAATGGTGTTGAACTTAAACAAACGAACAATACGCTTCATCTTGGCACTGTAATGCAGCAGAATTTGAAATGGAACGATGACGTAAATAGGAAAATTTCAGGGTGTTACGCCATATTACCGGTTCTGAGAAAGCTGAAGTATTTAGCACCATATAATATCAGGAAACAACTTGCAGAGAGTCTAGTTTTGTCAAAATTAGATTATAACGATGTTGTGTGTAATCCAGTTCCTGATTACTTACTAAAACGTTTACAACAAATGCAGTTGGCTGTTGCAGGTTTTGTATTGCAGAAATATGCCAGTATGAGTGACATCCTCTCTCTTGGTTGGCTTCCTGTTGTGGAGCGTAGGGACTATCATTTAGCCAAACTAGTCTTTAGAGCCATTCATTCCAACGACTGGCCCTCGTACCTAAAACTTGACGAGTACAAGCCTTCAAGACCTCTGCGTTCATCGTCTTCCCGTCACTTGGTCGTTCCACATGTCTCTGGTACCTTTCAAGGCGAGGCTGCTCGGGTGTCAACGATCTTCCCGAAGACATTCGGAACAGTAATAACTTTAGAGAATGTTGCCGAAATTGTTTCGCTCATTTCAGAGACTTAGCAAACAACAAAATTAGCAACATTTAGTATGAAATACAATGTGTTTATATTGTTACGTAATGTGTCCATTGTTTCGTTTTTGTCGTTTGATTATCTCTTGTAAAGTATAGGTCTCTAATATACTATAATATTGTAGTAATTTAATGTTGTCATAATGTATGCATGTAACCTTTTGTAGCATAGAATAGCCACAATGTGGAAATGCTATTAAACCATTATTATATTATTATTATATTTATTTTTATTAAACTTTTCAAGTAAACAAAGGCGGGGTGTGGGCGTGCCGGAAGTAAGAAAGAATACTGCCTTGATTCAATCTTCCAGTTTAAATTCAAACGAAAAGTTGGGCCCCATTGGCCCAAACAATGGTCAAAAAGAATTAGAGAAAATTTTTTTTAATATCTGGTCTCTACAATACATTATAATATAATAGGAAATTGGGAAAGTCAAGTCATATCCCCATGTACAATTGGACAGGAAATGCCTATTATAAATGTTAATACAGGATGGAAATGTCAATAACTCAGGGTTTTTTCTATTTTAACAGGGAAATTGACCAACATTGTCGCAAGATGGCCAGGTTCGACACATGACAGCCACATCTTGAGGACATCTCATATCCATCACCAATTAGAAGGCACCAATTTTGAAAATGGAGTGTTAATCGGAGACAGTGGTTATGCTTGTCTTCCGTACCTAATTACCCCATACCGAGAACCACGCACCCAACCAGGATGGAGATTTCATCGGGCATTGAAGGTGACCAGATCCCTTATTGAAAGAGTGTTTGGCATTTTGAAACGTCGTTTTCATGTTTTGCACTCTGAAGTTTGAATGAGGCCAGAAGGGGTGTGTACCATAGTTACGGCATGCTGCATTCTGCACAACACTGCAATAGCCACAATGAGGCCTTACCAGAATGTGAAGATGATGAGCCTTGGAATGAAGATGATATTGATCATTTTGCAGGTGTCGACACTGGGCAGGCAGTGAGAAATCAAATTGCTAACACATACTTTCAATAAATTTATTATATTACAATGATTTCCATTCATTAAATTAATTTTGAACATTTGAACAAGTATTTGTAATATATTTCATAACATTAAAATTTCTGTACATGCATAATTTTTTTTCATGCATGATTGCCACCATACAGGAATATTTAAATAATTCATATGTAATAAAACAGTAAATCATAGTTTATATAAAGTGGAAATGGTTCGGAAGCTTGCTTGACAAAGTTTTTTGTTCACGTTTAGGTGATAACCCAATAGAACATTGGGCTTTAATTGCTCAACCATAATATTCTAATATCAATCAAAACAAGACAAAAGATATGTGTATATATATATATATATATATATATATATATATATATATATATATATGTGTATATATATATATATGTGTATATATATATATATATATATATATATATATATATATATGTATATAAGTACATTTTAACATTGAACAACATATCAAAGATAGCAACAAACTCATACTCAACATGACTAGACCCTTTACAACCAAAAACACATACAATTACCGTACATGAAACTTTTACCTAAAGTACACAAACTGATCTCTACAGCCTCTCCTAACAACGTTACAGACTTAACCAGACGACCAATCATTACAGCACACTCTTGGACAACCTCTAACGTATCCAGACTACTTGGCACAGAACTCAACAACATCATTTTGCAAACTCAAAAACCTTTTTATTTCTAAAAACATCCAATTTCCTTTAATTTATAATTCTTCAGAACTGATTGACTTATTTCAAAAACAACACAATACAGACATCAACAACTTCCAACTGACCACTTTTGACTTTACCTCTCTACACCAAAATAACATTTCAAAACACTATCGATGCTATCATCTCCAGTTGCAAACTTCTTAAATTTTCTCGTCTACATCGTGACTTCCTGCTCAACCTAACGAACGCAACTATTTTTCTGTTGGACAAGACATCTACAGACAAACGCAAGGAGTTGCAATGGGCAGCTATCATAGCAGACAAATTGCAGACCTTGTACTTTTACTTAGTGAACTCAACTAATGCTAACGGACTCTCCCTCTTTTCTAAATACATCGATGATGGCTTCATGCTTACAAACAATACAGACTTAAATCTTTTAACCACTAACCTTATTTCTTTCTATCCTGCACAAATTCCCATAACATTCACTTCAAATCAGCATTCTGTTAACTATCTTGATCTTACAATTTCTTTAAATCACCACTCCATCCTACATAACAAAATTCATTATCAAGTATACCAAAAACCAAACCACAAATACATGTACCCTCATTTCTCCTCTAATCATCCCCAACACATCTTTGCAGGCATTATTAAGACAGAAACTATATGCTACAGCAGACTGTCCTCTACTATCACAGACTACAACTACATACGAAAACTTCTTACCTTACGACTTAAATCTTTAGGCAACATTATTGATCCAACAAAACTCCTTTCCTTTTCTCACCCACAACCTTCACAAACATAGAACGAACAGCTCAATCAAACAGAAACTTCGAACGACTAACAATATTTACTACAAAACTAAATACAACAAACATGCTAGAACAGACAGAATAGTACATCACATACTCAACAAATACTGCAATGTACACATCCCGAAACTAACAAAAACTTACTGCAACTCAACGAGACTTCATTCTCTTCTCCTCACTAATAAGAAACTCCACAGTAAACTTGTCTAAAACCGAATTTTCTGAATTTGGCTTAAAATGTAACGAAAACAAACCAAACTATAGTGGAAACATTGTAAAACAAAGATTTTCCATAGATTATCTGCTCTTTTGAGCAATTGTCACTCTGGGGTCCTTCCAAACGAAGAACACATAACATCAACACAGGATATATAGTTTGAGTAGTCCAAAAACATTTCTAGCAACAATTATATCTAACTAATTTAGACTAGTTTTTGATTTTTGTACATATTTTATTAGAAACCTTTCTCATGTCTTCCCTTTCCAAATTTGCTTTCCTTTGATATACAAATTAAATTTATAAGCCATTATATTTTACAATTAGCTATAAATATCTTAATACACATCAAAAGATTTCTATACTCACTTCAATGAAACTTCAGTGATATAACTTCACATCAGATTAGATCCAATCCCAGATAGTCGAAATTATTAACAGCATGGTTGAACATCCTTTTAAGAAATAATGTATATATATTGCTATAGACCCTATTCAAAGAATGGGCTAGATAATGCCAGGACATTTTTTAATTCTATCATGACACTACAGACCCCATTTAAAGAACGAGAAACAGACAGTACATTTAAGTTTCTGATCATTTAACAACCAAAATATAGAATACAGCAGATTCAATTTGAAGAACGAGAAACTGACTATAGAGTTGAGGTCTTACAATCATAATCAACAATAAATTGGAATTATACTACAGATCCCACTCGGAGAACAACATACCGTCTAAGCATTTGAAGTATTAATCATTAAGCAATATAAATCTGGGATGATGCCACAATTTCTACCTGAAGAACGAGAAATCAACATAAATATGGGACGACACTGCAATTTCTACCTGAAGAACAAGAAATTGAAAACAAAATGGGATGTTATAACAGATTCATTTTAAAGAATGACATAACATGTACTAATCAATTGGAAATTTAATCCTAAAACAACTAAATATGGATCAACACTGCAGATTCGTTTAAAGAGCGAGAATCAAATGAGCAATTACAATTTTAAATGCATAGCCCCCCCCCCCCCAAATCCTAACACATGTCAATAACATGGTCGAACCTTCTTTTCCCCCAGCGACAATCATAAATTTTAAGCAACACAACATAACATAAGACACCATTATAGTTTCCACTCATAGAACGAGATATATTAAACTAATCGGTTGATATTTAATACATTTTATCCCCCACAAACTCCCCTCAATCCTACGTCACAGAGTTTAGTTACATCACAACCATTCACCCAT